CGTTACATCTGATTGGTCAATAAAATCGATTATCAGATACAGAAATTACCTCTTTCTTCTTACCAAGCAAATAAACGTATATTCTTCATTCAAACTGGTCTGGTGTACCAAAACATGTATTCCCGTTATATGAGAAGTCTATCCTTCGTCCAAGCCTCTTCTTTGGTGCCGGCATCAGGTAAACGGAGGTGACCAGAACAATAATAATCATTATTTCAAGGTCATAACTTAAGTCCTCAATAATTTCAACAAACTCCCAAGAACGTTTCTTTCACGCAACAATACCGACATTAAAAAAGCGACCAAGAGATATAAAAAAGAAGAACCTTGCCAAAAGGCTAGCCAGATTGGAGGAAGAAAAGGCCTCCAGACCAGATCCCATTATGGGAATCCCAACCGAGTTTACCAACTCTTTGCTTAGACCTTTGGAAGTATACAAAGCAGCAACAGATCCAAAACTCCTTCAGTTCAATAATTATTCAATTGATAAAGGTGACGAGAAAATAGTTTTTGAAAAATTGCCGCAAATTTTGGCAAGACATCCTCAGTCTGAAGACCAATCAGTCACTGGATCGGAAAAGGAAACGATTATGAAAGCCTTGATCGGCCTGCACAATTCGAATTCACATTCCATCATGACTTACAATATTGATAGAGCAATATCGGAATTTGGGAGGTGCCCGAACGACACGGGAAGCGCGGAGGTTCAAGGTAAAAGTCGATGTTTTGTGAATGCATTCGTTTTTACAAAGATTATCTATCTGAAACGATCGTCAATCGCAGCCGCCATATGGACCGTGCGAATTTTAAATCTCAATGAACATATTAAGACTAATCGCAAAGATAAGCACAATTATCGTAGTCTACGTTCGATGGTTCACAAGCGGCAAAAGATTCTCAAGTATTTAAAACGTGAGAGTTTGGAAAGATATTTTAATTGCCTAAAAAAATTAGGATTGGACCATAGAATAATAGAAAGTCAAATTGTGATTTAAAGAATTTCAATGAATACCCTGAATTCCAGTTCAACTAACTTATTATAGAAGCATTACAAATTTAAAAGAAAATAATTGTGCACTGTAACCAGTAATTATTTGTCACATGACGATCTGATATCATGAAAGTCATGTGAATCAAATAAATTAGATTTCAGGATTGTCGAGACAATGTTTGCACCACCACAAATTTCTAAATTGGCTATAAAATGCTTGGTTTTTTTCCTTCATCTTACCAAGTCAATCAAAAAAAATTTTTTCTCTTTCTTCAATCATTACTTAATGCTTAATTCGAAAGAATTTTCGCGGAGACTCTATAACAAGTCAAGAATATGGCATACAGAATCACTCCAGAGCTTCAAGATAAAATTAAATACTTTACACGATTCCCTCAAACTGGCGTGTCACTAAGGCAGATGGTCAAATTTGGTGCGCGTTCA